CACGTTAGAAGTCTAACTTGGTGTTTCCCTGCACTAGTTCTCTGTCTCTATCTGATTCCTAAGAGGTGAATTGGATAAGTTGACAATATATATATAACTACTCATTTGTAATAATATAATAGTTTCAATTAATAAAATTACAAATTAAGCTTGTGGGGCAAGTAAATGGCAAACACTACAAAAAACCAGGATTGGCTGAATCAAAAGAAATCTAGAGAAATTCACTGGCCTCTGACTCTGAAGCTCCTAATGCCAACAGTGATCACAGCAATATCAATCAATATAAGAGATCATACAGACTGCTTATTTAGAATTAAAACATGGATAGGAGAATTACCTACCATGGACAAACTAAATGAAAGATGTCCAGACATTTAACCAATAACAAATACAAAATCTGCAAACAGCATAAAGAAACCAATGACCATATCTTTCAATATGATACAACACAAACAAGACTTTAGGAAAAGTTCATACAGACCTTGACAGAGGAAAGCGTATCAAGAGCTGAAGGCAAATGGATAGAACCAATCCAAAACAAAAGATCACAAATAACACAAGAACATAAGAAAAACATAAAAACAGGGTACAAAATCGAATGGAAGGATATAGTCAGGGGAGTTATAACATATGGTATGATACAAGTAGCAGAGACAATAATAAATGACAGATTTAGAGCACTGAAAGTAATTCGAGAAGCAACACACAAGTTCTGGCAAGCCAAATGAGAAGCTTGAAAACTCAGATACGACTTTACAATAAAATGAGAAAAAAGTCAAAACATAAATAAAAAACTTAAACATCAGAAGAAGTGAGTTAACAGTAAAACAGACAATCAGTCAACTATATCACAAAGCCCAAACTTACTAACAATACAGGCTATAAAAAGCTTCGAGGCTGATCCGGAGCTAGAACAGGTCCAAATCAACCTTAAAAAACACCTAAAGAACAGGTTTAGGGAACTATATATAGAATTAACAAATATCATAATAGAAAAAACTTTAAAAATCAGCTATTTTCCTTTTTTCTTCTTTTCTATCAATATTAGTACTAGTGAAGTCTTGATACACTAGTGCTCACTAAGGTGAACTGCAGCAAGTTTCAGGGTTTCTAGTAATAGAATACTAATCATGGTGTTTTTCTCCTTTTATAAATATATAGACTTACAATTAAATTTATGTACATAAGCCTGTATTAATGAACAAATAAAAACTTAATAGCAGAACTTCACCAGTTAAAAAAAAAAAAAAAAAAAAAGTTTATTCATTCTCAAAGTTTAAAGTAATTTTGAATTTATTCAAATAAATTATAATAGATTATTTTTTAATTTGTTATTATAGAAATATATGACTTGTATAAAATAATTAATATAATTTACTTGTAGGATCTAATAATTCAATATTATAAATTATAAGTTAATTCTTAATAACGAAGTTTATATTTAATATTAGTTGTGATTCAAAAACTCTTTTTGTTAATCCTCTGACCATATACAAAAAATATGTTCACAAGAAGTTTTTATATTTCTAAGCTAATAAAGTCTTATTACTCTCCTTAAACCAACTTTAAAAAACTTCAAGAGTTGTCAACTACTTTCTACCCTCTTGTTTACTATCCTCTTCAAACAAAAACTTGATTTCTAGTGACCATAAAAGGTCAAGAAAAAACCTTTTCTACCAATGGCCAGTTTGATCCTAAATTTTGGGTAGCACAAAATTTCTCACACCATGATTGGATAAATAGAGCTCACATTAGTAAAAGAAAATAATCAAGCTCCCATTGATCACCTTACATGTCTGAATATATTTCTTCAGCTCTATAAGAATCTAAAATCCACCATAAGTCATTAGTCCGGGTGCAGGGGAATATAGAACATTTCTCCACTTACACCATTGATTCCTTCAAGAAAAAGTTCATCTGACTATAGTAAAGGTCACAAGATACTATAACTGGATTTTATGGTACCCCTGGTCACTGAATAGGTTCCTTTTTCAGTTTTGTCAAATAGGTAAAGATTCAAAACAAAGTTCCCACAGCAAAGTTGGGTTTCATGGCAAATAAAATATAAGGGGATTAAATTTTTTTTTTTTTGAAATGACATGCTTCACCTGAGCACATTCATTAGGGGGAATCTAGGAGGGTTGATGAATTTTCTTTCTTGGTGTGTGAATTAGATTGATCTGAGTAATTCTCCCTAACAACAAGTCATTCTGTGGATTGAAGCAGTTAGAATTTCATAATATGGTGATACTGAGGAACAGGCAGTATGACCTTGACTGATGAAATCCTCAAAGAGTAACCAGCTTATGGAATCAAAGTGATAGTAGTAACATAAAATTTTAACTCTCACAGACAATTCTAAATGTTTTATTAGTAACTATTTCTTGTATCTGCATTCATTTGCCCTGACTTGAAACTTTAAATAAAACAAGGCAGAGTTGCTGTTTCAAAAAAAAAAAAAAAAAAAAAAAAATATCAGTTGTGATTAAAAGAATAATGATGATGATAATAATTATTAAGAAGTTTCTTTAAATAAAAAACCGATATATTTCTTAATAAAACAAAGTATCTTGTATTTTTGTTTTCGAATCAATTGTCTGTGAAAAGATTATTGCTTGTTTTTTTTATCATCATCCAATAAAGAAAAGCCATGAAAAAAAAATAAATAAATATACAGTACAATGTTTACTGTACATTAAATAATCAGGAGATAAATATATAAAGTAGGTTTAATCATAAAAGTCGTCTTTATTGTATAATTAAAGGATCATTATGACGCTTCTTTGGCATGTGTGCTCTCACTTCTCACTGTACCACTAAATCTAATTTGTACGCAAAATTGTCAGGCCAAAAATATGTCGATCTTTGTGGAATGGTTTTTTAAACATACAATTGTGTCCTGGTAATGTAATTCTTTCGACCGCCACTGTAAGTACGCATCTAATGATAAAGTTAGCAAAGCAAATCGTCTACCCAACTCTCACAAGAAAAATATATACGTGTAAATGGGAAAGAAACGTTAAGAATCATAAATTTTCACAACGTCTTATTACTATAAGAATTACAGGCACTCACCTTAAAAAGAACAACTCGAATCGAATAAACAGTGCGCACGAGATGACCTACACTGAAGGTGTACCTAAAATTTTGAGGATGGCTTCGAGCGACGGAGAGTATCGCAGGAATCCTTCGAGCTTTCGCAATTTCATTAGCAAGGATCCAAATGCCACATTCGCGGCAGAGAGGTGGATTCATTTATTTTCCTGACGCATATAATAGTAGAAAGGTTCCGATTGGCTATATGATTGTTAAACTTGTAAAATTCGTAAAAATAGGGACCGCTATCATTTGTATGTTAGCTCCGCTTGCCCTTGGGTGCGATTTTAATTCTTATGTTTTTTCTTTTTCGCAAATTATCCGGGAAGGAAAATCTCTATTCTAAAGTATTTCCTTTTTCCATCAGTGCCACCGGGTAATGATCGTTCGCGCGTTGAAAGAACTTGAAGACGTGATCGGAATGAGCGTTGTCAGCTACCTGATGGGCGAAAAGGGATGGAAATTTAGTACGCCTGATGAAATTCCGGGGACCATTCCGGACACAGTTAATAACGCCCAATACATAAGTGAGCTGTATTATAAGACAAAACCTGATTACGAAGGAAGGTTGGTCTTGTGTGTGGTTGTGGCTTAAAGTAAAAGCTAAAATGCTATCTTTTCTATGTTTTGATTTCATCCGCTTTTTGGCGCACAGATTTACTGTTCCCGTGTTATGGGATAAGAAGCTTGGAACGATTGGTAGGGCAACTCGATTTTTTCCTTCCTTGAAGTTGTTATGTGCGTGTATCTGCTACCGTTGTCGTAAAGTATTTTATATTACGTAGTCACTAATGAATCCAGCGATATAATCCGCATGTTCTACGAGGTGTTCGACGATTATATTCCCCGAACAAAGGGTATAACCTACTACCCCGAACATCTGCGTTCGGAAATTGATGAGTTGAATGACTGGGTCTATAACACCGTAAATAATGGTGTTTACAAATGTGGGTTTGCGACCACACAACAGGCATGTTAGTAAACCAATAGAAATGAATGACCCTTCGGATTGTTGCGGCAATTTATCTTGGATGGATCATACTTTATTTTATTTTTTTTTTTTTTTATTCCGAATAGACGACAATCATATCACTCCGTTATTCGAATCGTTGGATCGGTTGGAAGAGATTCTTTCCAAAAATGAATTTCTCGTAGGCAACACCTTCACCGAAGCAGACATCAGACTCTGGCCTACCATTGTTCGGTATGCAATATACAGTATATACTGTATCCCTTTCTTTTCCAGTTACAGTGCGCATGTTCACATATCTGATGTTGCAATACTGTATAATGTAATGCGTAGGTTTAATCCAGTCTATTACGTACTCTTCAAGTGCAACCAAAGATCCATTGATGACTATCCAAATATCTTGCGTTGGGCGAGAAAAATTTATCAAATGCCAAAACGTAAGAAAAAAGTCGGCGATGGGAAGGATACATTTAAGAGAATGACAATCGACGAATATTTCTTTTTTCTTTTCTTTTTTTTTCTTATGTAGTCGCAGAAACCGTCGACATGTATCATATCAAACATCATTATTATGAAAGTCTAAGGCAAGTCAACCCAAGCGGAGTTGTACCTATTGGCGAAAGGCCAGGTAAGGAATTACATATTGTATCTTAGTTAAAAAAAAAAAAGACGATGTTTTTTTTAAAGTTTTTTTTTTTTTTTTTATTTGTCTCGTCATTTAGATCTTGGATCTAAACCCTAAGAACATACCGTATATTATTAGGATTACAGTATTGTATAGGCCGATTCTGTACCCCTTTTCTCTATGAATATAAAAATAAACATCTCGACCATTAATTCGGCAAAAAATGTGTCGCGCAAGGGTTCATGCCTATATCCAGTTAGTCTTTTTCTAAGAATAAAGATCAACGAGCGTTGAGTGGTTTATCTTTCGAGACCCACAGCAAACGTAATCGAAGCTAACGAAAAAAAAAAAAACCAAAACCAATGTATCATTCGGTTGTTATGCCTTCGTTGGTTATTACAAGAAATTTCATCAGAAAAAAATTAGAATCGTCGTAAACCATCCCATCTCACTCCCCAATGTTGGGGAAAAAATGGTCCGTCACCTTACATTAAAAAAAGCGCCGTTCCGAAAATCCAATACTTACTAGTCTAACCAATTTCGCCGATTAATTAAAATCCCCCAAATTAAGGATCCAAATATGAAGCTACGTCGATTTTGTTTCTTTAATTAGACCAAATCGCGATCTTAACTAATTCACATAAGGGGATGCATGACTATAATGAATGTTCACAAATTCATGCGATGAGGAAAGGTCACGCTTTAACCAGTACTTCCTTGAACACTTTCGACCGGTTGCTTAAATATATGGCATACTTTTTTCTTGTTAATAGCATAGCATACATAAGACAATCGCTTTAGACATCTTTGAGTTAAAGTAATTGCCCGAATGCGAACTATGATAATTTCAAATTTATTTTCCTTGTTCCCTTTGTGTCTCTACCTCATTCTGCCTTTTGTAAACTCCCAATACTCTCCTGGTGATGACCCGGATTCCGGTACGTCTTCATCTTTCTTGCCGCCCGTGGTGGGCCTTAGAACCTGCAATGGTACCGATCTAACCATACGAACCTTCGACGGCAGTTGCAATAATCTAAAGCATTCAAATTGGGGCACCAAAAATCGAGTTTACGATCGTGGATATTTTCCGGCAGTGTATGCCGATAGTTTCTCTGGCGAGCCACTGTCAAAGAT